ACATTTTATTAAATTTTGTGCATCTACCTTTCACCTAACAAACATGTTACAAAAAGAATTTTGAATTTACCATGTTCCATTTATGAGATTTGAGTAAAAGGTCCAAAAATTGCATAATTTGTATAAAATCACATGATGACGTCATATTGACGTCACTGCAATTTGTGTCTATAACATGTCCCGGAATACTTGCATACCAAGTTTGAACCCAATTGGACCTCCGGTTCTGTAGATATAGGGCCTTAAAGTATGCACTTTTAGGATGACGTCATGTGACACGTGATGACGTCATGATTCGGCATACATCTTCAGATGGTTGTTAAAGTGTGTGCCAGGTTTGAAGTCGATCGGACCGTATTTTATATAATTTTTGCATAATTTGAAGAAAATATTAAAATTTGAAAAATTCATAAAAAATCAGATGATCACTTCAGATTTTGAATGCTGTTATCTATACCTACCTACCCACCAAGTTTCATAACGATCGGACATACCCTTATATGTGAATCAAAAAATCATGTTTTTTGATGACGTCATGATGACGTCACACATTTTACGAAATTTTGTGCATCTATCTATGACCTAACAAACCTGTTACAAAAAGAATTTCGAATTTACCACATTCCGTTTATGAGATATGAGTAAAAGGTCCAAAAATTGAATAATTTACTGGTATATAAAATCACACGATGACGTCATCATGACGTCACTGCAACTTTCGTCTATAACACGTCCCGGAATATTTGCATACCAAGTTTGAACCAAATCGGACTTCTGGTTCTGTAGATATAGGGCCTTAAAGTATGCTCTTTTAGGATGACGTCACATGACACGTGATGACGTCATGATTCGGCATACATCTTCAGATGGTGGTCTAAGTGTGTGCCAGGTTTGAAGTCGATCAGATTTGAAAAAAAAGCCAAAAGTGACTTGTAGAACGAAAACACGTGTTATCCTATGAGAAAAATAGTGGAAGAAAAAAAACAGAGAAAAAAAAAATAACAGAAACAAGAGCTGTTTCGGTGTGTACACCGAAACGGTGTGTACACCGAAACAGCTAACTAGAGGCCTGTGTCTGTTTCCAACAGAACATACGGCTTTTCCGCATTATGTTTTTTTTTAAATTGAGGTCATGTTTTTCTGTTATTATGCAAAACTGTGTGCATTTATAAGTCAAAAAGAATTTTGATTTTGGAATATTGCGTTTGTGAGATACGTCAAAAGTCTTCACAATTTAAAAAATAATCACAAAATGACGTCATGATGACGTCACCTCAATATTTATTTGTAACACATCCCGGCCTACCCCCATACCAAGTTTCAACCCAATCTGACTTACTGTTCATGAGATATAGGGACTTAAAATATGCAAGTTAACAATGACGTCACATGTCTAATGATGACGTCATCGTAACAATGATTGGCATTGCTCATTATTTTATTGTGGTTTTAGTCAGTACCAAGTTTGAAACAATCGGATTAATAAAAGTGTCAAATTTTGTAAGCAGAATAAAATTGGCAATATTAAAAAAATTGTAAAAAATCTACTGATGACGTCATCGTGATGTCATTAAAGATTTTGTGTAATAGTGTTATTATAAACCCACCCATCAAGTTTCATGACGATCGGACGTTCCCTTATATGTGTTTCAAAAAAGCGCTTTTTTGATGACGTCATCATTTTTCAAAATTTTGTACGTACCGGTATCCCTGTTGCCTAACAAACCTAATACAAAAAGAATTTTGAATTTAACATATTGGGTTCGTGAGATATGGCTTAAAGGTCCAAAACTTCAAATATCTATATAAAATCACACAATGACGTTATGATGACGTCACCTCAATTTTCATCTATAACACATCCCGGTCTACCTACATACCGAGTTTCAACCCAATCGGACTTACGGTTCTCTAGATATAGGGTCTTAAAGTTTGCACATTTCAGATGACGTCACGTGACCCATGATGACGTCATCGTGACGTCACTCTTCGGGACACAATGTCACTATGAGGTCTTTACATGGGACAAGTTTCATTAGAATACGAGTTTAAGGTCCAAAATGCCGCGGTGAATAAACGTGTACAAAGTCTATGGGATTTGGGGTAAGAACAAGAGGGAAAAAAAAAAAAAAAATCTGAACAAAAACAATGCTTTTCCGCTTTTAAGCGAAAAAGCAAAAAAAAAAAAAAAAAAAAACTTTAACGAAAACAAAAGCTGTTCCCAATTGAAATTGGAACAGCTAAAAATATATACATTAAAAAGCATGCATTATCATGGTGGACCTTAACGTTTTTTTCACTAGCCATCCGTGCTACTGAAACAGACTCTTAACTAGTCCACAGGCATTTTCACTAGCCCGCATGTTTTTTTCTTTTGTAGAGTGTCTCGTAAATAACAATGTGCATAGATGTAAAACGTGTATAGGGCCTGAAAGTTGACCCCTGGTGGTGCTCTTCAGGGCCCCTCGAAAAGTGAAATTAACGTGTAAAAGTCAAGAGTTTTTAAAATAATTTTTGGTACATTGTTTTCTTAAGAAAATCAGCCTCAGAATTTTATGGAAACTGAAAAATCGCATGACGTGAAAGAGAAATATCGTGCAAAAAATATTGACCTCTCACTTCAGAAACCTTCCACGTGGACTAAATCTAGAATCCATCTGATGTAGGTAATTAAATTTTCGTGTCGTTACCATTTACGTTCTATCATTTACGTGATGTGAAAACAAACGTGATCGATAAAGGAGACCTAGGTACGAAAATAGGTCGTAAGTACATTTCGCTTTTACCCATTTCCAACTGATTTCTCATCTATTTTGTCAGTGTTTTCAGTAAACAGAACTAATAAAGCCAAAAAAAAATACTTCTGCTCCCGGTTACCCGACTGACCCTATTTTTAGGCTGCGACCCTTAAAATTTTATCGGCAATTCCAAAAAACAAAAAACATAATGATTGAATAAATAAAAATAAAATCTTGTTGTCTTTTCTGTCTTCACAAAATACCTCTCAACAACCCTTTTGCGTCAAAAAATGCTTGTATTTATTTGTTTTCTTACTTACATTCGCTATTTTTTTTCAAAAGAAACCTCCGTCATTTTTACAAATTCGCTTCGCGATATAACTACTTCACAAATCAATGTCACGGTGACTATAAACACATGCGTAAACCTAGCTCAATGCAGCGATGACTGGTTCCCGCCGCGCCGCGCAGGTGCCAATTTAGAAGACATGATGAAAATGCGGTAACCAGTCTGCATGGCTATGGCTATGGCATGGCTATGCGATTGATGGTGCATGCAGGCCGGTGCACTGTCAACTGGTCGGATTCGACATCGTAAAAAATGCCAAGAAAACACCGATGGAGAAAGAACATTTTTGCAAGTTAATTCACAGAATTGATCTAGCTTGTCTGTGTATGTATTTTCCGTGTTCAAGAGTTCAATTTGAGATCGCACTTCTCGTATTTGGAGTGATACAATGTAGCGTGTTTCCCGAAATTTTCGAACGTAAAAACGAGGTCTGTCGGCCGCGCCACACATGCACAGTGCATCACACACTTCGGAGTTTTGGCCAGCTTCCCGTCTTGATTAGCGTTGTGCATGTGGTGCGAACGACCTGAATTTTCCATTATTTTTTTAAGAATTATCGAACGTAAATATATTGACAATAATTATGGGAGAGTGTTATTTTACAGGGACAAAGTTGAGAGTCTTTGAAGTGCGATGATTAACACCTGCAGGTTGTGTGGGGAGATCCATAATATTAGTTCTAGGCAGCTGTTGGAGAACTGAATGTTGTGCAGGTGTGCATCATCATCTGTTAGCTACACTCAGCAGTAGGAGTTGATTTCTTGCTTCTCCTGCCTCTGAATCTAAACAAGCCATTCAGATTAGAAGTTGAATGTAAGGCAATGAGTTGGTCCCGTGTGAACTTGATGTAGACTGGCTTAGCAGGGAATACAGACTGTGTTGTCACATTTACGTCATTCACATTAGTCAGTTCGACATGTGGCTCATGGAAATTGGTGTCATAATTGGGGCCTGGATTAATTGATACATCCACAAATATAGGTATGTCCACTGGAGGATCATGTCCAGGTACAGAGATGCTTGTTGCCCCACGTTTCTCCCATTTAACAAGTGCACATTTTGATGACTACCAGCAATAACCACGCTTAGGCCTAATTGTCATGGCAGCTACGATCGTCCTCATACTGGAACAGTTAAATGGCTTAAGTGGGGCTCCAGGTAGCAACAGGCAATATTTAGGCAATACAAAAGTGCTAAAGGGAATGTACAACATTTGCTTTTGCTGCAATTTTCATAAAGAAATGGATTTGGAGAAATAGTATGTTGAAGCAAATATTGTCACACTGACTTGTTTCACGTTTTGGGTTCATAGATACTGGAAAAACCAAGAAAACCAATCATGTTCTTGGCCCCTGACCCCACTTAAGATGAAACGAAGCAATTTATAGACGTTGTGGAATTGTAAGGTCAGAGAATCAGTCTAGCTGGCTTGTACCCCTTCAAAGGTGTGTTATCAATTGCAAAGAAAATGCAGAATAACTAAATTAGAAAAATTTGGAGCAGTTTTTTAAAAAAGCAAATTTTCTCCAACGCTGGAAATTGATACAAAAATACCACTTTACTTAAAGATGTCAGCACACTAGGAGCCATGTTTGTACAGAATGCGTTAGACTGCATTCCCTAACAGTCCAGTAAAGAATTTCATGGTAATTTGATCATTTTGTTTTTGGATGTTTGCAAATGTTGTATCGTCCCTTTAAGAAAAACATGGTTAAAAGTTGGGAAATGACCAATGTCTGGCAAACTTCACCCTCTGGTATAGTAAAAGAGATAGTGCTGGAAAGAATGAGTGTCTATATTTACACAATATTTGCAGATAGTTCAATCCTTCATTATAAAATTAATTTCATGGCCCTTGCAAAAGATTAAACATTTGAAAGTGCCTTTCACTCCTTCACCCTTTTTTTTGACAGATGAGAAAGTGAAGATGGAAGTAGGCATGGTGATTCAACGTGGTAGGCAGGCGAAGGAAATGACGCAGAAAGAGCTTGCAACGGTAAATCATCCAATAGTTTAGCTTTCATAGCTCCAGTAAGGAAAGTATGAGCTTTCCACTGTCCAGTGTTTGGCACCCAAACAATACATTTTCAAATTGAATTGGAACGTGTAAGCATTATGTATGTTTTGTCTTGCCAATGAGACATTGCAAATACATTGTATAAAATAAATTAGATTTTTCTTTTTGAGTGTCCTGCTTCTTTTTTCAATAGCTGATCTTTGCTTCTTGTTCAAAGTGGAAACAAAATGTTTTGGAAAACCCATGTTAAATTTCCAGAAACTTTGGGGAAATTAAAACAATTGTCTCAACTGTCCCCTTTACACCTTCATATCATTTCAATGATTTGCTGATAAATTTGAAAGAGCATACTCTTTCTGCAGTTTCAATTTTTGTTTGGAGTGATGGTGGTCCCCCAAAGAAACTGTTGAGGTGGGGTGGAAATTGGAAAGATACGTTCATGAAACCATGAAGATTGACTTCATTAGAAGACAGCTCATTCTACACTTTGTCAGTTATACCTCTTGTGCTGTTTTTTTAGGTGCCTGGTAGAACCTCATTTGATGGTTCATAATATTCATATTACAAGAATGCATGAAGGGGATGGGATAAGTTGGCTTCGACATTGATTAAAAACACTTGTCTTTACTCAATAGAAGTAAATTTTGTATGTGGCGCAACCTGTACAGTGTGAGTCCAAAAAAAAGGTAACTCAAATGGCAGTACCAATTATTTAATGAAGTTCTACATGTAGCACTTTCAAAATCTAGGATATCTAGGATATGAATGCCCAATTAATAAGCTTTCTGTTAGTACAAGAATCATTCAAATCACAGAGGTGTAATCACAAACACTGTTGTAAAGTTCTGTTCACGGATCACAAACAATGTAAGTGTTCTTTTCAGCAAAACGAAAAAGAATTCACATAGGGATGTATTTTTTTACTCACCCTGTATACTTTGTAATTAGCAGCTCAATCTTTCCATCTACTCTTCATGTATTATTTTTGTTTCGTGTCCAGAAAATTAATGAGAAACCACAGGTCATCAATGACTATGAGGCAAGTCGAGCTATCCCCAACCAGGCCATCCTAGCTAAGATAGAGCGTATCATTGGTAAGTGGTAAACATAGGAACTCCATGCAGGATCCCCCCCCCCCCCCCATGTGAAAAAAAGAGAGATTAAAACCAGGCTTGGGCGAATCCAGCATTTTTAGAAACAAAAACAAAACAAAAAACAAACAAAAATTAAAAACAACAACAGCAACAAAACGTACACAAAAACATTAACCTTAAATCCGCTAATAGCAGCGTCTTTAATGGGTTGTAATCGTTCTCTTATAGATGGTCATTTGTTAGCAAATATTTAAGTCAGATTTTGAGAAGGGGACACTACAAAATTAAATGTTCCGTGTTCGACAACTTTTTATTTTCTTTAAATTTTTCCCTTACAGTAAACATGCAAGATAAAAATCCAGAGCTCACCTAAGTTCGAAGCTGTCAACCAAAACAGTTCAAAATAATTAGAAAAGTACACTGAAAAGCTGGCTTTTTCCATTAAAATGGTTGCTAAACATAACACTGTTCTTGTCCTTTTAGTTCCATACATTTTTTTTATGTGTGATCAACACTTTATTTGGCACCATAGTAATCGTATTGGAATACACAGAACTTCTCCACGCATGTTCACTTTTTGATTGTCACGTAATCACGACCGTAATCACGTGATTACAATGAAAGCAATCTCTTAAAAAATGAAACCTTTAAAAAGAAACTTCACCAGTCATAGGCTACATCATTCAAAGTTGCCATATGCATAGTGTCCCGAAAAGTTGGGTTACGTGACGTCATCATAAATGTGCATATTTTAAAGTCATATCTCTACAGTTCACTGTAAGTCCGATTGGGTTGAAACATGTAGGTAGACCGGGATGTATAGTAGGCGAAGATTGAGGTGACGTCATCATGAAGTCATCATGTGATTTTTATATATTTTTGAAATTTTGAAGCTTAACGCCATATCTCATGAATGTTATGGCTCAATTCAAAATTCTTTTGTTGTAGGTCTGTTAGGTATATGGATATACAAGTATGCACACAGTTTCAAAAACGTGTGCCATGCAAAATCTGAAATCACGTCATAAATTTTTATTAACTTTTAAACATTTCACATTTTTGGTATCACTGGCATGCAAGCTTTCCTCGAATCCATTGATTTCCTGTTTTTTTTACTTCTCACGAATGCCATTACAAATTGAAAAACACTGTATAAAGTCTTGTATGGTTTGGAATTTCCTCTTTTTTTTTAATTTCCAGTTGCGTGTCTGGGTAGGACCAGTATTAGCACAATTTGACATAAAATGCAATCAGATTTGGGTTTCTGTAGGGGGTTGCCCTTGGGAACAGGCAAGTTGGGTTTGGTTTTGGGGGGTCAAAGGTCAAGGTCACCGTGGTGAGTAAAATGTACATGGTTTCCGGATGATAAGTTGAGTTAAAAATGAGATTTGGGTTTCTAACTTCTGTAGGGGGTTTTCCTTGGGTACAGGCAAGTTGGGTTTGGTTTTGGGGTCAAAAGGTCAAAGCCTTTTGATTCACAGGTCAAGGTTATTGGTATATATATACACATATATCATGCAATAAATTCAGAATATAAGCTAATCAAACTTTGGCATATTTCTCTTCTGAACAGCCTGTTTCGTACCATAAGGCACTCATCAGCAGAATGACAAAATATAGAATACAAGTAGCATCTTACCTTATTTCGAATCTAGCGCGCACATGTTACGTGCCTTACATCATTGAAGTTAGTACGTGTTTACGTCACTGAAGTAAGAACACACCTGTCTCGATGCCTGCACTTGGAGACGATTTCGCTTCTCTTATTTAGTGTACCTAGATCTGGCCTGCATATGATTATGTACTTCTCTGCTATACACAAATTGCATCTCTTGTTTATGTTAGAGTATGGCAGTGCTTTCTGAACAATGTCCCATTTGATTTCATAGTCTTTCCCCTTGTCCTTTAAATCCCATATGTTTACTTAGCTCTGTTTGCGCCCTTTTGTACTCGGATCTGAATGACTGCTTGTGGTTCGCCAGTCTCGCCTTGAAGGTTGTGGATGTTAGCCCAACGTACATTTGTATGCCTCCTTCCTGCCTTCCCTCGTGGCGACGGTGGCCTGGTACACAATGTTCTTGCTGAGGCACTCCCCGTTCAGCAGGCATTTGGCATTGCGGGGGCAACTGCATGTTCTACCACCGACGTCGTCCTCTTGTTTTACCTTCCGTTTGTTGATTGACTGGATTGTTGCCTTCATGTTCGGCATGCAGCTGTACGATAACTTTACTGTGTTCCGGTTGAGCACTTTGTGAAGCTTATGTTCCTTGGGGAAGCATTTGTCTATTATCTGAAGGAATTTCTTTCCAGTGTTGTCACGTACGTTCTTGTTGTACGGCTGGTTGTACCATGTCACCTCCCTTTTTCTAGTCCTTTTCCTTGTGCTACTGCACGGTGTGTACGTCAACTGATACTTGTGCCCGCTTTTTTGCAGAGCCTCTTGGTAGGCCGGGGCAGCTTTCTCAAATGCCTCTTTAGATGACTAGATGTTGGAGCGACGCTTGTTGATTCCCCCTGGTATCTGTTTGATGACGGCGGGTGGATGGTTTGACTGGACACATATATAGAGAGGTACATCACCTGGTTTCATGTATGGCTTGTACCACTCCCCCCCCCCCCCCCCCCCCCCCTTAACATCCACAACCTTCAAGGCGAGACTGGCGAACCACAAGCAGTCATTCAGATCCGAGAGCAAAAGGGCGCGAACAGAGCTAAGTAAACATATGGGATTTAAAGAACAAGGGGAAAGACTATGAAATCAAATGGGACATTGTTCAGAGAGCACTGCCATACTCTAATGTAAACAAGAGATGCAATTTGTGTATAGCAGAGAAGTACATAATCATATGTAGGCCAGATCTAGGTACACTACATAAGAGAAGCGAAATCGTCTCCAAGTGCAGGCATCGAGACAGGTGTGTTCTTATTATAGTGACGTAAATGCATACTGGATTCGAAATAAGGTAAGATGCTACTTGTATTCTATAATTTGTCATTCTGCTGATGAGTGCCTTTACGAAACAGACTGTCCAGAAGAGAAATATGCCAAAGTTCGATTAGCTCATATTCTGAATTTATTGCATGATTATAGCTCTACAGAGATGTGTCGAGCACTGTGAATTTGTGATAGAGGACGATTTCATTGGATATATATATGTATATATCTCATTTCCAAGAAAATTCACGAACAAGGCTTTAATTTTGTGATCTACAATCCCAGCCAAAATGGTTGGGACACTTCCCGGCTCCCCCAGTCAATATTGTTGTCTCCAGCTAATCAAGCACACACTGCGCAATGAGAGACAACATTGAGCGGGGACTTGGGGTTGGGGGCTCAGCAAGATTTGGCTAGGATTGTAGCTCAACGCATTCGTCAATTATCCTCAAGCTTACAAGCAGTGTTCCCAGCCCCATTGCACTACCCAAACCTGCAGCTGGACATGATTATGGCACTTCAGAGCAATTCTTACAAATCCCAAGTCATCCTAAATTTCAGGCCTCCAAGGAGAAGCTGAAAAGCTGGGTACAGTATTTAAAAATTTGGAATGGCCTGGCACTTCTCAATCCTTCACCAGATGTAGTAATTCAAATGGAAACATCCTGCCAGGGTTTGTGCACTCCCATGTCAGAGATCTAGGCAGGAGGCAGATGGTCTCCATCGATTGGGACAGAACCTTCACAACAATCATCTCAAAATGCTGTCGGTGTGTTATGCCCTTCAGCAGGGTTCGACCTTAACTTTTTTGTTCACTAGCTGGCCGGACTACTGAAACAGACTCTTAACCAGCACGCGGGCATTTTCACTAGCCCGCATGTTTTTTTTCTTTTATATTGTCTCATAAACAACAATGTGCATACATGTAAAACGTGTATAGGGCCTGAAAGTTGACCCCTGGTGGCGTGCTTCAGGGCCCCTCGAAAAGAAAAATGTACGTGTAAAAGTCAGTTTTTAAAATTAGTTTGATATATTGATTTCTTAAAAACGTCACCCTCGGAATTTTATGGAAACTGAAAAATCACACGATGTGAAAGAGAAATGTCCTTCCAAAAATTGACCTTTCACTTCCGAAAACTTGCATGTAGACTCGTGGAACTTAAACTGGTGTCATCAACAGCACTTTGATCCTGTTCAGTCCCCTTTAGCAGCATACATTGTGAGAGGACAGTCTCTAGCATAGGACAATTAATTTATAGATCAGCTACTTCTTCATGATGCAACATGGACATCATCAACCGGGACATGGGCTGAAGAAATAGCTGATCTGTAAATTCCTGTTATGGCAAGATTTTTGAAGGTCCCTTCAAATTCTGTCCAGCTACGCCTAAACACTCAGTTACTTGGAATATCGGGAAAATGTTATCTTGGTTCTTCCATCTAACAAGAATCTCAAGTGAGACTTTTGATGCCAAAATTGCCCATGTTATTGTTGGTTGTTCTTGAAACTGCAGGATGTTGTTCAGAATTATTTGCTCTAGATCTTATACATGTACATGTATACATATCAAGAATTAAAGGATGACACTTGAATTGCACCAGTTTGCCCATCGGAATATTCTTCAGCACAGACATGTAGGCCAGTTCCAAGCTAATTTAGAATAATCCCCTTAAATTGAAACAAAATCACATGCAAGTTGGTTAAAAACAAATAATGATATGATTAACAGCATCACATCTGAAATTAATGTTACACAAAATATTTATATAACAGTAACTGGAATGCAGTTATGACGCCAGAGATTGATTAGGATTAGTTGTGAAAAGTTACTTTTAAAAAGTTGAATCTGTGAGCAGAGGAGTTTTCACAGGTGAAATGATGTCGGACTGAAGGGTGTCCTCTCAGGATCTCTGTCACCACCCCTCCAGTCACCAGTCCTAGTCAGTTACACTTGCGACAGTCAAAACTGACATCCCACCAAATGAGGGTCAATTCTTGTTCATTTTCCCACAATCAAAAATGGATGTTATTCATACGCAACCCGATACATTTGTGGACCAATGCACCCATGCAGCGTGTTCCCTAAGTTGGAGCTCTTGTTAGTGGTCACACAGCGTTGTTTAGTTTTCTTGCATATGGAGCCCATACAAATAGTGCACTGAGGTTTTTGTTTATGTTTTAACAGGATTGAAGCTGAGAGGCAAGGACATTGGAGTACCGCTTGGAGGTAAGAAGTAATGGCACTTACCTCCAGATGCGAGTCGCAGCCATCGCTGAAAAAAAGGGAGGAAAATCTTCATCATCATCATCTTAATCATCGGCAGTGTCATGAGAACCATTTTAGTTTTCTTATTTTATAATTCAGAAAGGACTCAAGAGATTAGGCCACATAAAAAAAAAAAATTGGTGATCGTCCCCGCCCGCCCCTACTAAAACAGGCCGCCCCATTTAAAAAAAAAAAATGATTTGGAAAAAAAAATCACAAAATTTCCTTTTCAATGATCTTTTACAGTTCCATTTCACACTGTTCTATTGCTGCACCCCAAGCGTAGTTCGTGTTGCGCAAGCATGGTTTGGAGGTTGGGGGCAGAAATTAAAGTTATAGGGACGGTTATTTAGAGTGTAATCTTTGAAACTGTCACAGGATTGTACACAGCGATTTTCTAATTAGTTTTTTTTTGTCGGGTGCTGCATAGATTTCACTTGATGATGCGCGTGCGTGTGTATAGCAGGCGGCGCCGCGCGGGGTAATTTAAAGTCTTTACCTTTAAAATGAAGTGTGTTGCAATGTATCCTTTTTGTGATATTATTTGCAGAAACAGACTTCTTGCACACACACAAAAATACAAACCAGATCATTCAATAAAAATTACTTTAAAAAAGGCAATGCTATCACGCATATCGATTAGCAATCCGGAAAAATAGCTAACCACATTTCTGGTCTACAATGTCGCCATTTTGTTTTCCCGCGCACGATACCTATTGTGATCGCATCAATAGCCTGTGAGGGCTCTACAACAAGACGTGATGGACTGTTTTGCGTGCAATATCGAGTTGGATCATGATAATAATAATAATAATAGTGGCCATTTATAAAGCGCACGTATCCACCAGGACTGGTGCTCAAGGCGCTACATCATTATTACCCCTGCTCATTGGGCACATGAAACATTCCAAATACCATCTCAGCTCCCTGGGGAGTATACAGCTCGATGCAGCCTGTTAGGCGCAAGGAAGCTCATTCAATCACAATAACCATCTCTGCCCTCACAGGTACCCATTTACTCCTGGGTGGAGAGAAGCAATGAGTGAAAAAGTGCCTTGCCCAAGGGCACACACACCATGACCCCGCCAGGACTCGAACCCACAACCTGCAGCTCTACCCGCAGACCATGAATCAGTGCCCTTAACCACGAGGCCACAGTACTCCACGATTTTGGGCTTCTATGCAGCGTTCTGAGACATGTTAACAAAACTCAATTGAATAACAAACAAAATCAAAAAGCGCCTGCCCACCCCAAGATGTTTTTTTTTTAAAGGACGCTCAGCTTTTTTTTTATGTGGCCCTAGGAACATTATTTTGTCAAGTTGGATAATTGTCTGAATTTTGTTTTGTATAGACTATAAGCTGGGTGTTTCTCTGAAAATATGTATTGTGGGAAATGACAGAGACCCCAACAGCATAGACTTAAAAGGAACAGCTAGACATGAACTGCAAAGAACATTGAGTGAAGTGGGGTCAATTCCAAATTCTTGGCTAGAATTTGTCACAGAATCGCATTTGCAGTTCTTCATAAATTGTGAAGGAGAATCGCCCTTTCAGATACCGCTTTATAGATGTGATAAAAAGCAAGACATTTGGGTTTCATTTTTGTATTTATTTTAAAGGATCTACTCCCCCAGTTGTTTTCCTAAAGCATGTGTACATGTAAGTGCATTCTTCTGTCTGCTGTTAAGGATAAAATGTGACCAGCAGTGGATTTCAAGAATTTGTATGCAATAACTCGACTCGCACCACATTAATTTTGTTACATACTCTAACTTTTCATTGTGTAACATTTCAGTTATGAAGCAGTTCTTGAACATTTCATGATTTTACTGATTAATCATGATCACCATTGACCAACTTGTTGAAGGTGATACAAGAACTTCACAGTGTTCAGGGAAATGAAATTTGATTTTACCCACAACAGAATTTGGAGAATTGTTGCCCAATTCCATAAACAAATTCACACAAAATTAATTTGAAATTTGTGTTCTCAAATGTTTTGTGACCAATGTTAAATTGTACACAAACAGCCATCAGAAATGCTGGGCCAGGTTGCATGAAAAAGATAAGAAGTATATTATTTAATACTAGCAGCAAATTTCTTGCTGAAAAACTATGCATGCTGTAAGTTACACACTGTTTTGTCACCTACACTTGTATGTGAAATCTGCATTTGATCACACAAAATGGGTCTGAAGGTTCTTTTTTGTGTGTGCTTAATATAATAGTTTTTTTCATAGCTTTAGTGTCAACTTATTCCTTGTGATTTTGTTCATTCAGTTAGTGCGGTATTCTGGAGGACAGGCATATTGATTGATGGAAGCATTGGCCATTCTTAGTATTAACTTCCATTTTATCATGATTTTGTGTAAGGGTCTGTAAGTTAAAAGTACAGTATTTGCTGTCACTAATAGGATCATTTAGTTGGATGGGTAATGACTTACAGGTAACATGATTGATAATTGTGGCTACCTACGTCTACTGTTAGAAGTTTTGAATTGTTCTTGTGAAGAAAAAAAATCGTTATCGTTTTGAAAATATTAATTTTTACTTGTACGTGTCTTTAGGATCTTGGATTGAAAAGTTAATCTTGAAATGTCAAGTTAATCAGCCGATGTGAAAAAAAAAATTAACTTAGCATTTATATAAGTGCACCGAAAGATCACTCCCAAAAGTGTACTCCCAAAACCCAATGGCCTGATTTCATCAGGATATTAAAGAAAGGGTAAGTAAGGAAGTGCTTCCCATACCAAGTCATTGGAAGTTGTAGATTGGGGGAAGATTTTGATTGGATCCTTTTGAAGCTCAATAATGACCTTATTATTAATTCCGTTTTTTCAAAAGGGAATAAATATGTGCTTTGCTGGCTTAAACAAGTACGTTTAAAACCGGACTATAGGGACCTGGATGCCGATAATAGGGAGGTTTCGCAAGCGAACGGATACGCTTACACTTACGTTTAGCTGTCCGTATCCGTTTTTTTACTTACGTGTAGCGAGCGAGATATGCGTGTCGTCTGCACGTATGTTGTCATACGCCACTCACTATCCGCTAAATGTGCAGACGACACGCATATCTCGCTCGCTACACGTAAGTAAAAAACGGATACGGATAGCTAAGCGTAAGTGTAAGCGTATCCGTTCGCTTGCGAAACCTCCCTACTGACCCAAGCTGACGACGAGGGTCATTATCGGCGACCCGGCCCCTAGTACGGTTTTAAACGTTCTCGTTTAAAGCTATAGTCCATCATTTGCAGCTATCCGAAAAGTGGCTGGCGTCATTATTGTTGAAAAACATACTTGGTTGAAAGATAGTAAGGGGACTAAACTCCCTGTGAAATTATTCTTTCTTACAAGCTGTCATTTTGAAGTAATCAACGAAAGAATGCCTTTCCAACGGCGCTTCTTAAGACGCACCGTAGGAAAATTTAAATTAGTAGTTCGGTTTGTTATTCGGCGAAGCGCGCGCAAGCATTGGCACGACGCACACGCGCGCGCGGTTGCTATAATTGGTCGGATCAGTGCGCGACATCGCGTAGCTGCAATCAGCTCAGCGAGAACTTGTCTCGGACGCTGAATTCAGGCCCAATTCAAAACATGATTCAGCAACTTTTGATTTGAAATTGAGATCCTAGAATGCTGTTTTTCTCGGAATATACAGCTGAAGCTGAGCTGAAACTTCATTAGGTTAGTTGTTTAGTACCCTTCTTTAGATTTTGAGCACTTTTGTTGCTTCAAACGAACAAAATGCACAAATTACAAATGATGGACTATGGCTTTAATATAGGCCAAGCACATATTTATTCCCCTTCATATACCTTTTGGTCAAACAGTCAAAACAAATAAAAAATTATTAATTTCCAACGATTTTATTTAACAATTTTACTTCACGCTTTGTGAAACACCCCGAGCTATGTTTATGGTACATGTATGTGCCTGCATAGTACTAAAAATGACACGTGCGTGGTTCGTACTGCGAGATGTGGTTCAGAGCAGCAGAGGGTGACAGTGCGGGTGTTGGTGTTGGTGTTTTAATTAATGTTGTGTGAATTGAGGACTCGGAGAAATATGGACTCATTGGTAGTACATTGCGCATGCAGAATAAAGGGGTAAAAAGGACCAGATTTTGTAGAAGTCCAAATTCATGTGACACCGGGGAAAATAGGAATGGGTAAACTGTCTCAGGTATTTATGAATATTCTTTAAATGTGACTCGGTTCAGTTTTTTCATCCTGTCAGTTTACCAAGTAAAAATTATGGGATAATAATAATTAAACTATTATTTGAAAACGTATTTAAAAATCTGCTTTCTTTGTAGGAACTATTTTGTTTTACATTTAAGACAATTCAGCAGCAGTGGAACAGTTCAAAAGTGTGTGTGACCGGCCTTTGAAAATACAAATGGTGGAGGGGTGGGGGGTGGACCTCAATTGACGCTTGGGGTGCACGTTAACATTGTTATTTTATTTTATTTTATACTCCAACTACTTACAGAAAGGGATACATTCACTACAGCATCAATTTAAAAACTACTTTTTTGTTTGTTGAAAAAAAAAACCAAGGACCCCAACACCAACTAGTCTGAGTATCACCTGTTACCCACGGAGCAGGTCTCCTGTATAACGTCTGATTTGTCTAGACATGCAGATTATGCGAGCCGCGCGCCAGCCATCGGAGTCGACATTACTAAATCGTGACGTCATTTAATTCCCAAATCAGGACTAAATGGTTCGATTGGTCAATTCAAATGCAGTGTTTGTAATACAACAGCCGGGTGCATATCGCGTAACATGATACAGAGCGCGTGACACAGGTTTTTTTTTATCCATTGTCTATGAAGCGCGACGGGTGATTGACCGAAGACCCGATATAGAAAGCGTCCGCTGATTGGTCAAAATCTAGAGGTCAAGAGGCGGTTGTCTTGCCTATCAGGGAATCTGCTCACATAGACCATGGCTCTTCCGCTCTTCGCCATGGTCCATTGGTCAAAAGGAATTTTTAGGGAATCCCCCCCTTTCTGCTATTCCTGATTTATTATAGCTAGCTGCTACAGAAAATAATCAGTGGAATTTCTGGATTAAGACCAGGAATACTGTAAAAAATACTTGCTTTTAAACCTGAATTTCAAGTTTAATCTATTTTTAATTGCCATGTCTGTGTCAATTGACAATCAGACAACCTCGTTTCGAATAGTATAAGCCCTGGGATGGGAACTTGCTTCCTGTATCCTTATTCTATACCGCATTTAGCAACAAATGAAATTATATCAGAATCGGACAGTATTTGGCAAGAAAAATCGGACAGTATTTGCCGGCTGGAATCGGACAATACTTTTTAGCAGGAAAAATCAGACAATATATGGCAAGAGGAATCGGACAGTTTTTGGCAAGAAACTTAAAAGTTGCATGTATTCTCTTCAGTATGTTACACAAAGGGCCTAATGCTCTGTTCAAGAGGCAAATCAGCAGAAATCCCTTTTAGGACTTGGGCAAGTACAATTTTTTCCCCTCAAATTATAAACACTTTATAATGTGCATGTTCTCGCAATAAAAGTCATACGACTTTTCACAGGCGTAGCCAGGCAGTTTTGAAATGGGGTGCCAAGTCCGACCGGCCTATACAAACCCCATCCAGGGGCGGAACCAGGATTGTCCAAAAGGGTGGGGGTGAAATGTAACAAGCAGCAAATGGTGAAGGCCAAAGAGGAGGGGGGGGGTGCTGTATAATGCGAGCACGTGGCGCAAAGCCGAATGGCATGGGTCCGGGGCCCGCTTCCGGGGCCACTGAACCTAGCAAAAGATCATCATTCGAACATTGAGTTTGG